TTTCAAGTGATTGGCTGTAGCCTGACATCCCCGGTGTGACTGCGGCTGGTGTGAATGTTGACAAGGTGCCTACCGGTCTTTTACCCACTACCTCCTACATACTGGCTCCAGGAGACAGTTGGTCGTTGCTGGAGGGGACGGGGTGCATCGTACTCGTGACGGTGATAGGTTCAAAGAGTAGTTCCATCCTGTGTGGAACAGGCTACGGGCCAGCCACCACCTTGTGTACGCCTGGTGAGCCTGATTTCCCAATTAGTCCGGTATGCTTCTGTTCTGCTTGTTGAAGGAGTGTGGGCCGGCTCCGTTGATGAAACGTGGCTCCCATCCACATGCCTCACGGTCTTATTCCTTCGGGTTTACACTGGATATGAAGTGTGTGGATGGAGCTGTGGGTGGTGCAGCGCAAGCCACCCATGGTCCTTCTGTAGGCGCAGGCGTCCTGTGGCTGGCCACAGTGACAGGCAAATCCGAAACCGGCTACCGCCAACACACAGTAAAACAGTAAAATTTTCATAACTTGAACACTCAAGGGACTGGACCAAAGTCGCCAAGATAGAGAGGTTTGGATCTATGGAGTCTACATGATGAACGTCTAAGCAATGAAAACACTGGACAAGGTACAGAGGTGGTCAACGACTAGACGTATGTATGCTAGTAAGGAGAACGTACAAAGTGGCTGTGTCATCACGCAAATTGTGCTCTCTGATCTCAGCATTTGGAAGCAACGGGGGGAATATTCTGCATCGACTATGGGGCCTAACAGGCATAAGGATGAACGGAAAGAACCACGACCGCTTTTGGGTAAATCAGAAATGCGGTGTTTATCACGGCTCCAAAGAGACAGTCTAGTTTGAGACACGATTAAGCCAACCAAACAGATGGAAATGTCTACTGTAAATGATGGAAAGATAATGCACAGAGATAGTAAACGTATCACGTATGCAATACGGAAAGCGGGTGCAAGCGTACATAGCTTCGTGTACGCGGCGCTAACAAAGAGGCACAAACACGCAGCTAATCGATCAAAGCACATGTGCACACCGCACACACACGGTGGAGAACATGTGTGGTCCAATTGATGGTGCGTTCGGGCATACACACACACACACTGCATGCAAAAAACGGAAAGGGCAGTTGAATGGAGTTGGACGTAGCTGAAAAAGAGAATCACGAAAAGGGCTGCCGGCAGACACAGAAGTAAACAGAAATGAAAAATAAGATGTTCACGAAATGATGAGTGCCAGTGGTCGTCAGTGTGAACCAAGTTGGGGCGAAAGAACACGGGTCGAGCAAAAGCGCTGTTGTGAAAGGGAGATGTAATTTGCAAGCTCAATGGACTGATGACGGTTTGGCCCACAATGAGTTCATTTACCTACTAGTCGGTGGTAACGAGCATCGTGACAAATGCAGTGTTTCCGAGGAAATGAAACGGCTTCGTAAAGTGCCACCACTGCCGCCATGGAGTTCGGTAAGATTGGAGAAAAGGTGTCTGTTGATAAGGTGTTCCCTTCCAGTTAACTCGATACCCCCATCTCGGTCATTGCTGCTTAAAGAGCACACAGTTCACAGTTTGTTATCGAATCAATATCATGGAATTCGCTAGTGGTAAGGAAACCTTGTGCAATTACCGTAGTATCACTAAATGAAACAATGAAAAGTATATGCGAAGAAGAAGTCAGTATAGACTTTATGTGCCCAAAAGGGTGCATTTTCAGTAGTTTACAATAGCTACCGCAGATGGATTAAAATGGAGAATTTAAAAATGCAAATTTACCGATGGAAAATTCGCACCGGGAGCACAGGTGTCATCTGAATACGGTCCTGTCTACATATATGTAATAATCTCTATTGAAAAAGGGAATCGTTGGCATTTTCTTTCTGTTAAAGTTACAATGTCGGAACCCAGTCTGTTTAAGTTACAAAAGCGCCTTTGATAAATGTACGCGCGGCATCGCAAAGCAGGTGTCAAAAATCAACGCGGTACAGCGCTAGTGACCTTGAAATAGTATAACCGAAGTAAATGCCAATAATATCCGGGGGCGACTGTTGAATCCGCGGCAGATAAAAAGGGTGTTCCAGTGGAATGGCAACGGCGGATTTGAAGGCCCCGCTACCTGAGATTGCAGTGTAAATTGCTAAGGGCCGCTAAGCAACACAGGTAAGCACTATACAAACAGCAGCTCCGCTACAAACGAACACAACACTTCGAAGCACTGACAGGTAGTGGAGACTGCAGCCCACCTCGTGGGATGCTGGGAATTTGAAAAGCATTTTGGCTAGCGATCACGGTTAAAGTCGTAACATCATAAAGCTTTGGTGCAAAGTTTCGAAGCTACTCACTTCGAACTCTCCACTCCACCAGCGGTTTCATCCTGATTCAGACTTTTCAGGTAGAGACAACCTTATCTGAGGTTGGAACCCGACTCGGTGGTTGATGATTTATGCCTTGAGATTGCGTATCGCGATCTAGACAAGTGGCGGCTACTTTAAGACCAAACAATGAGAAAGCTTTCAGTAGACGTGATCTATTGGAGTCATCAACAAATGTCGGCGACCCGCCACCAATACTGTAAACTGTGATCGCGATTCCATCCCTTTATTTTAAAGCGCGATTTGCACAGAGGTAGCAGAAGTGGGAAGCAAACTCGGGGCGTGGAGATTTCCGGAAAACGTCATTACCACTGCGTTAATAAACTGCGGATTCGATCCAGTAATACACTTTAAGGTAAATTGCAGCCGTAATTGACATACTGTGTGTCGCAATTCATCCGCATAACAGATGGTCCCCAAAACCATAATGCAACGAATGAATCAGGTGGTTATACGTGGCCAGGTTTATGTCCGCGCGTAATCGAAGTCTAATTATTATGGAGACCAAGAGGGGAAGAAGAATCATGGAATGCACCCCATTATGAATCAGGATTGTTAACGTTCGTGATTGAAAAAGCGTAATACAAGACGCTTGGTATGGACTACGAACAGGGTGACCGACTGACAAAAGTACGTAGGCGGATGGGATCCAGTCATATGCACGCTGCTTATCAGGCTTACGCACAGCGTCGCAAAGCTCCATGCGTGTTTCGAAGCTTTAGCGGAATAGGTGGGTAATACGGCACCAACAGCTTTTGCAATAACCGAACTACTACCTCGAGTTGAAGTCTTGATTAAGTCTCTGAGCTGAGCAATTTGAATGTGGACATTTTGCCATTTATCAAGATAGTACCTTCGATGCGTAATAGTACGCAGTTAGCAAATACCGGGCGTCGAGCAAATTCAGAGATGGATGTCGTAGGCCACTGAGCTGCCTTTTATATACATTTCAAGCGTTTGTAGTTAGGCTTCATCAGAACTGGTTTTCTATGGGATACATGAGCGACCTCTGTGGGCTAATGTGAAGCTTGCTGCGACGTAGGATGGCTCCTCGCAAGTTCATTGGTGCAATGGCCATTGTTACAACGGCTGCTCTGTTCGTTGTCCAGTCAGTAGTTTGTGTCGGTTTAAGTCACAATTGCTCATCTCCGAGAAACAGTCGAGATTATAATCGCCAACACGAGCTACCGGTATTCAGATGTATTGCAAACGAATTGCTCAAGCTGATAAGGACATAATAAGCAATTGTCACTCCCAGTGATCAAACTATTAGATGTATAGGCGGCCTTTCAACGAAGCAATCGTAGAGACGATGAGAAATCAACACATCAGTCAAACGGGGGAGGCATGACAAGGTTATCGCGTGTATTGCCTAGTATGGTTAGTACACGCATAGCAACTAGCCAGTGAAACCGATGGTCGAATGAAGCCAAGTGCAGTTTGGTGACAAAGTACAGGGTATTAGTTGTCAGGTAGTAGCCGCTTACGAGGGGGCGATCACGAAAAACGCACACCTGCTGAATATGATTATTAGCACGCAAATACTAAAGGCGTATAACCGAGGACATGACGAAAGGACTCGATCGTGATAGTGGCCGAAATCTGCCCAGTTGGGGGCCCAGGGATCAGTAGGCGGCATTGGTGGTCAAGGGTCTACTTAGAATGGTGCAGTCAAGGGGTCAGGAATGCCCTCACACAATCGGATACTAACCATTAAGCCGCCTCTTCGTCGACGGACTTAACATCGTGCTAAGTACTCCGAAAGCTAATCCATCCAGACGATAAACCAGTGTGCTGCTCTTTTTTGGAAGATCAACACTGGTTTGGGAAGTCCCGATAACATTTTTGTTACGATTATCTGTCTGGAGTAGAAACATTGAGATGCAAGTCAAGGTGACCGAGTAACTAACTGGACAGAGAACTGGCAGATCCAAAATGTGCTGCTCTTTCCGTTGTGAAAGTTCCAGTTTCATCATCATCAGCCAAAGCAAGGGACTGCAATAACAAATGGCGTGAGGGGTGTGTTAGCAGCCGACATCCGGTTTACCATGCCAAACCGTGCTATACTACCCAATGACTCTTCAGCAGCCTGTGACAGTGTGTGTGTGTGTGTGTGTGACTGCTATTGAGTAAAAGCGACCGCCTCTGACTACGTGCGACTAGCTGAAGTGACTATGCTACGCAATTGTTGTGTGCAATTCCAGTGCTTAACTAATTTCTGCTTTCTGTACCCCTGTTGCATCTAACTTCTTCATTAACGGATTCTGCTTACAATTCTTTGACTTCTAGTTACGGATATTCGTTACATGCATGGTATTAGTTCGATACACAAAGAATACGGTAACGTGACAAGAACGATGTAAACATAGCTGGCTACCAAGAGATCTCACAGTGCTAATGGACTCTGTCTCAGTGCCGACAACATGACAGCTAAGCCTTGTGCATAGAGCAGGGCGCATATATCTTCTGAAAACCATCTAATGATAACCGTGGCGTACGCATAAGAAGCCAGATGCAGCCTTCCGGTGAAGTAACTGCCCCATATGAAAAGTATACACGGGTTCATCTAAACAAACCGTCTTCCATTGTTATAAAAAACAATAGTCGACCAAGTATTAAACAGCACTTACTGGCAACTGTAGTGGTTGTTATCGATGGTTCTGATACTGAACCAGGCTTGGATGGGGTTTGTTGGTTTGACCAAACGCCCGTTTCCGGTCCTTTTTCTTCGTTTAGTTCTGCAGACAATATAGCCAGGGTGGCAGTATCAGTGGAGACTACTTCGACTCCAGCCAAACCCTCGGCGTCAACCAAGCGGCTGATGAGTTCAAAGCTGGAACCGGCGACTTTGTCGATGTCGTCCTCCCCGTAACCATCGGTTAGATCAGTGACACCCTCGACGAGTGGGGCGCGATCCGAAACCGCGCTAGGTGATGGGGCGAAAAGCAAGCTACGCTGATTGATCGAAGTGCAGGCAGTTTGGATGCCAAGATCAGAAGTGGAGGGCAACAGAGAGGAATCCGCCACCGATATGTTCAATAGCGAAGTTGGTGTGCCACTATGTGTGAGCATTCCAAAAAAGTTGGAACTCGAGGTCATAATCCGAAACACATAGTGGTGGTTGATCTAAGGGCAAGGTGCATGAGGAAGTGCGCTTCTGGGATTGGCGTTCATCGGAGGACACGATTGGATGCGCAACGGGGCTGTCGTGAAAGGGAGGTTGATAGCACATTATTTCACCATGGCTGCATTCCGGACTACATGATGATTTGCAATAAATTCAAAAAGTAAAGCTGTGGGACATTTGAGTGGACCGGGAAATCTGAACAGGAAAATGCCTCATGAGTATGGGGAAAGGCAGCGTTCTAACCATTCCATAGTGGCAAAGTCAGGTAAGACCACGTCGAGACATGAGAACAAGTAACTATCAGGGAAGGAAATATTGATAAGGAAACAGAACCGTGGGCGAAGTTGCATGACATGCCGACATATTAATTGAACGTGTTCATGACGAGGAACGTCACCTGTCAAAATTGACCTGATTGCAGGCCATGGATTAGGAATTTAGGTGAAGGTCACTAGGAGTGTGGAACGACCTTCAACGTGTGCGCACACGCATTTCGCACGTGTCGTGCCGAGCTGCAATAGAATTCATTGTCGACGGCATGTGCGTAATGTTTCGTCGATTTGCGCGCGCCTAGGTGTTCGACGTCCAATAGCAGTGGTCGTCCAGGCCACCATACACACACACACACACACACACAGGTCAAGCTCAGGACACGTGTTAGAGTCACGATGCCGAGGGTGACAGCACTGGTGTTTTGGGGATGCTCACACACATGCGCAAGCCAGCGACCGATCAGAAGTCCAAAGTGTGTGAACGCGCTCGAATTGGACGTGGACAAATGCTACGTGCAAGTGAGTATGACTGAACGAACACAAACAAACGACTGAGCGCATTTTAAACCGGCCGAACTGAAAACGCACAAGCACAAGCGCATACACACACACACGCGCGCACGAAGAAAAGATGCATATTCGAATGCAAAATGCGCGTTTGCCCCAACAGTGAACACTAAGAGGGTAGAGAACTGAGTTGCCGGAGAACTAAAAGAGCCCCTTTGCATGGCACAAAACACCGTTTAATTTATAACCAAAAGATATATAAAATGTAATCATAAGCTGTTTACGGTAGCGTGCTTTCAAATTTCGGTATGAAGAAATGAAACGACATATAGACTGATAGCTAGAAATCGGTATCGATCACTATTAGTTGAAAGTCAGAAAAAAGTCGGAAACGTAATTCTCCGCGTAAATCAACCAATTGTCGGTCGGTGGCGGAGTGGTCTGAGCACCTGATTAGCAACCTTAAGGTCCCCGGTTCGAATCCGCGAAGGGGTGGACGTCCTCGCGCGGCAGCGAAGCGCCGTTAGGGCTTACAGCTGACAAATTATTAAATCATCCAACCTCAGACTCTTCAACCAAGCTGACAGGTTGTTTGGACGAGTTAGTGCAATTTCCGAAATCGGTTGCTTGATGTCAAGCATACAAGTGTAACAATATGCTGATTTCACTTCATAAACTTCAAACTTGTCACGGACTGTCCCGAACTTCAGTTTGATGGTGAAAGCTAGAGCTTCTCTACACCAGTGGAGTATCGGAGTCACAATGAGCCGCAGTCACTCAACAGGAAGGTGAAAGTATTCAACAGTCAGGCGCCTTTCGTTTTGTCCCCCGATTGCAATCACCCTCCGTATCAAACAGTTTGCTTCTGTTAGTCACTGTGAGAAGTATGTCACACTGAACTTACTGCTCTCCTGGGGTTGTACAGACTTATTGTGTGCGTTTCAAATTGCTTGTCATTGAAGCATTTGTCTCGATGCAGCAACATTCCAAAACCAACTCTGACTCAAACAATTGTATCTACACACGTGGCTGGCCTACCGAACAACCTCCTCGTGGTGCCAGCTGGGTAGCTCGGGTTTTCCCCGTTCAAACGAATGGTTCGGCGGCAGTGTTCCAGTACGTGGTGGGTATTCGCCTGGCAAGCGTTCTCCTTATAAAAGCCACAAATGCCCGTTTAACAACACTGCGACGTGGCGGATGTGACCCGCCACTAAATAAGGTCACTGCCCCTTGCTTTGCTCCTGTGGAGCATTGTATCCCAACAGCTCGCTGCTGCATTTGTAGGAGGATTGGGCCCCTGTTTGGCACCTGACCAAACAAAAGGCGTATGAACTGAGTGTCCAGTCACCGGCTCCCAATGGGCGCGATTCCCTGAATTCGCTCCACTGCCTTGTGGATAGGCTATATAGCTAAAGGCTCCGGGGGGGAGTCCCTTAAGACAACTCCCTATTTTGACCTAGGCAACCGGGTAGTATCTCGCCTACTGACGAACCATGGAAACACACTCACGCCCTCACGATGTTCCACGTTCCTGTTACTGCACCAGATTTACAAGCACACGTCACCCAAGTACCTATCTTCCCTTTGTATTATTCAACCACTTCACTACCTGATTCCTCGATGGTGAACAACTCTGTCTCCACTGGTGAATTTGTCCCATCAACATCTGCCAACTCAGCCACATAGTGATTCACAGGGAACCACCAGCCACATGGTCTTCCATCATCGCTTCTGTAAACTGGAACTCGGTTCAAGCTAGCAAGACTAAACATGCGCACTCTACTGCAGATCGGACAACAAGCGGGACTGGCGTGCACCTTGGAGACCCTTGTAATTGATGTCTGCTACATGAATGAGACACGACTTCACGATCCCAACACAGTCTATCAGCTATCGTCACCAATCTACCCCGCACCCGTTTCCATCTCTACCTTTCTGGTGACGCTGAGTCTGCCGCTTCTGGGCAAGCTGGAGTCGGGATTGCGCTCAGTGCTAGAGCCGGGGCTGCCCTACTTGAGTGAATTCCAATGAACAGTTGTCTCTGTGCTATTAGGCTCCGTAGCTCCTGCAAGGTTAGCAGACATCGAGCCGATAAGCGTGCTCTTTTTATGATCTCTGCTTATGCCCCCACTGACTGCAGCTTGGATGCAGTCAAGGACCAGTTCTAGCAAAGTCTTCATGATCTGCTCCTAAGGGCACCTAAAGCGGACATCATCATGGCAGGAGATTTCAACTCACGCGTTGGTCAGCTGCTTCCATCTGAACGCCACCTCGGGGGACCACATGGATATGATGATGTTCGCTATGAGAACGGAGAAAGACGGCTGTCTGTGTGGCGATCACCAAGTTTTCCTATTCAGTACGAGCTTTCGTCCCCCCAGGTGACATAATGCCACCTGTCGTCCTCCATCATGAACCCTGCGTTGATCGTAAATTGACCGCATAACCATAAGTCGAAGGTGCCGTGGAAGCATACGCGATTGCCGACCATACTGGTCTACTTGTGTGGAAACCGATCATACATTGGTGTACGCTTCGGTGGCACTCCAAACAAGCCCGACTGAACATTTGCAAATTGGAAGATCCCGCAGTACAAACAGATTATCAATAGAAGCTTTGTGAAAACCTTGCCCCCTCCTCTTCTCTGGATGCAGACCAGCACTGGTTAGGCTTGCAAAACGTCATGCTGTCCGCAGGTTCGTCCAGCTGCGGTCTCGTCCGCTGCACAGATAAAAGCTAGATCTCAATAACTTCCTCGGAACTTTTAGATCGTCAACGCGTCATGCCCGCTGGCACGGACCACAACGAAAGCCGTCGATCCATTTCTCCTACAACTGAAAGCAAGCCTTCGCTCTGACTGTGAATCCTGGTGGTCTAGGCGTGCTGTTGAGATGGAGATCGCTGCATCGGTTGGAAATTGCCGCTGTTTTCTCCGCCTCATCAAGGCCACCGGTTGCAATTCACACGCCATCAGTCAGACAATCTGTGAGTTAAACGACACAAAAATCACTAACCTGCAGAGGCGATTACAACGCTGGACAGAACACTTTGCTCTTCAATTTAACTACCCAGCAGTTCCCTCTATGACACCATCTCCATCGGATGTTGTTTGGCCTGTCCCCAGTGACCCTCCTACCGAAGTTGAGATCCGAATCCGTTCTTTGAAACGACATAAAGCTGCCGGCCCTGACAGCCTTTCTCCGGCACTTTTCAAAGATTGCAGGAGTATACTTGTCAACGAATTGCTCCCACTTTTCGCAAAAGTTTGGACCGATGAGAAAGTCCTCAACTCATGGGGAGACCCAATTGTTACCCCGCTTCACAAGAAAGACCCCGCGAAGATTGCACTAATTACCGCGGTATCTCACTGATCTCAGTTGTTTTCAAGATTTTTGTGTCCATTTTACTTCGCAGACTGTCCTTTACAAGAGAGTTTTTCCCGAAAAAAACAAGACGGTTTTCCCCCAGACTGAAGTTGCATTGATCAAATCTTCAGGCTCCGACAAACTCTCGAGCTCCGCCACGTCCACCGTCGACCAAAAATCATAGTGTTCCTGGACATCCCTGTGCTGCATTCGATTTAGTAGACAACTGCTTTGGGGAATTGTCTACTAAGGAAGGGTGTGCCCGACAAGTTTGTCGCCATTCTGAGGGAACTGTACACCTACACGTCGGGCAAAATTAGGGTTTACGACAGACTTTCTCCTTCGTTTGCTGTCCCCAACGGCGTTCGCCAAGGTTGCCCTATTTCACCTTTCCTCTTCAATTTTGCCATCGGAGATGTCGTGCAACAAACGCCGGAAGTTGTCCAGAACTGCGGTGCTGAGTTTCAGCCTGGCGCCCGAATGCAGAATTGAACTACGCTTTGTTGGGTGACGATCTGCAAACCGTCCAAAACACCTTGAACCGCTTAGCGAATGAGATATTCAATTCTGGCTTGTGTATCACTCCTGCCAAATGTAAAGTGCTATTTCAGGATTGGCAGGGGCTTGCGTGGCTGGCCCGCCGAACAACCTCCTCGTGGTGCCAGCTACGTGGTCCGGGATTATCTCGGTCCAGCGAATGGTTTGGCAGCGGTGTTCCAGGACGTGGTGGGTTTTCGCATGGCAAGCGTTCTCCATACAAAAAGCCACATAGGTCCGCTTAACAACACTGTGACGCGGCGGATGTGACTCGCCACTAAATGAAGTCACTGCCCCTTGTTTCACCTTGGTAAAGCATTGTATCCCAGCATCTTGCTGCTGAAATCGTGGGGAAGATTGGGCCCCTGTTTGGCTATTCACCAAACGAAAGGCGTATAAACTGAGCAATCAGTCATCGGCTCCTAATGGGTGCGAACCTCTGACTTCACTCCACTGACTTGCGGGTAGGCTATTGAGCCAAAGGCTCGAGGTGAAGTCCAATAAGACAACCCCCTACTTAGGCTTGGGCAACCGGGTGGTACCGGGCCCTCTGTGAAAGTCATGGATTTCGCAATTACTACTAGGTCGCTTAGTACTGCTGCTACTCGTGCTTCTCCATCACACGCCAGCTTTTCTCTTGTTGATAATCTACAACCTGTGGAATCTACTTCCAATGCCCGTCTCGCTGGTATCCAAATCATCCGACCATCACCTATCGTTCGGCCCC